TAAAGCTGTTAGCATTTCATCAAAAATTTCTCCTTGGGCAGTTGACAATTCCCCAGAACCTTGCCTTTTATTCTACTACCATAGAACTGCAAAACCTTTCCCATTATCTACAGGTAATTTAACTCTGCCCGATATGCAATTTAACTCTGCCCGATACACACCATCCCTTCAGATATTTTAAATAACAGGGATTTTATTAAGGCTGAAACAACTAATCAGATCAATCGTGATTGATTATAGAAATAATCGTCAACAAATTTAGTAATGAATTAATCATTTACTTCAATATAGAGACTCTAAGCCATGACTTTAACTGAAAGACAATCCCACTCAAAGCAGGTATTATTGTAAAATTGTAAAAAGTATATAAACATTTTGCATTGAAGATAAAAACCTTTTTTTTTACTCTTAATATGCTCTACCTAGAATACATAAAAGGCACAGTTTGAGCTTCAGTTGGTTTAAATTCTGTTACACCCCAATTATTAGTTTAATAATTGAAAAAATTAATTAAAAGATTAATAGATTAGATAAATATTCGTGAGTTGCAGCCCTTATTGGTTTGTTTTCATGGCTTCCTCCTTTTGTTCTTTAGTGTTTTTGTGAATTCAGTTTAATTCAGTTTATACAGCATCAGCTCAAAAAACATGACATCTTAGAACAACTTTACAGAGAAAATTGAAATCGATTATCCAGATTGCTTAAAAGAAACCTGGCCGATTGCAATCATGTTCAAAAAGGCTGCATGATTTGTTGTTTGTGCATGATTTTTTATTTATTTACCTTTGTCTTCATAGACCTGTGTCCTCTGGTTTCTCTCCATAAAACACATTTTAAGAGATTCGCTGCTATGTGAAGCATCACCCCCCCCCCATACACACACACACACACACACACACACCAGCCCGCCCTTCTAACCTGAAAACTGTGCTGCAGTTCAGTGCCAGGGAAAATTTAATCTAACCAATGAAAGAAACTAACCCCAAAACACAGGGGGATATGACTAGAAGCAGAGGGATGAAAGAAATCATGGATGAAAAGCTGAGCAGAACAAATTGAATCTCATTTTGAGGCATTTTTTCACGTGTTAGACAGTCCAGAAAGCTCTGAGAAATGTCTTATGCCTGGCACGGAGAATAAAAACCTCTCTGGCGAACGAGAAAGTGTAGAATAACAATAGCGAAGTGGAAACTCATTTAAATAGCATCATTTTGTTCTCATTTTACATCTAAGATGAGGAGCAGGCGAGAAAATTAAGCCGTGCTTGAGATAGAAGAAACATCTATTCAGGGTGAAAAATGAAGCCGCGCTTCCGAGGTTCAGACATTTCTCACATCGGGAATCTCCTGACTGCTTAAGCTGTGAGGTTGATATCTGTGATGAGTAAAATAAATTGCAAAAATTGAAATGTAAATCAATTTTCTTGACAATAAGTGTATTCTCTGTTGATTTGATCAGAGAAGTAAGACAATTTGCCAATGGATAATTTTCATTTCAAATAAATGAAAACAACGACTTTATAGTCTCTTTGTAGCTCTTTTTAGCATAGCTCTACATCTGGGTTAGCATCTCCAATCAGCAGTTTTTATCCTGAACAATTTCAAAGAGCAAACTGAAAATATTTAAAGTTACTCATTTTCTATTTTGGCTGTTTAGAGCTAGCACTCCAGGACACAATACGTCATTGTAGCGCAAACAAGATGGTGACCTCCATGTGACAATATTTCATGATATGTCATGCTAACCCCGAAATCCCACATACTCCGTCAGCGCTCCGCCCCGCTGCGCTCCAGCCCGCCTGCACAAAGCAAAGCCTACAGCCTCCACTGCGGCTCCCGTCCACCCCTAATAGCTAGAGCTTAGAGTTCTACTGCTCTGGATTCACCTTCCGCTTATGACGTTGTCACTCTAAAGCATTCTCCACTCTGTAATCGTTCTTCTTGGGGCGTTTGTCATGGCTTCCTTGTGACGGTCCTCATGTTTAGTTCTAGTTCTACAAACTGCACCGACGCACGCCAGCTCAAAGCATCTATTGCAACGTTATTCATTACAAGTGCCCAGCTTACCTGCTCAGGAAAAGTATAGCACAACAATGTGAGTCATTTAATAAACTGGGTAACTAAAAACCAAAATAAACCAAAAATAAGCACAAAAAAACAACAAAACAAACCGGTAATCTTTCCTATAGCCTAAGAAAATTCTACCAGGCCATGACGCCATTGGTTTTGTGAGGGGATTTCTGTGCAAACTTAACATTTCCATTTATTAATTATTTTAATTGAATGTAGCTTATTAACCTGACTCTGCCAGATGGATTTGCTCTGCATATCCATCTGGAAACCTTCCGTTGAAGTAATTTTGAGAAGGGGCGA